CTATAATCCTAGATACAGGAGGCTGAGATCTGAGGATCACAGTTCAAAGTGAGCAGAGGCAGGAAATTCTGTGAGACAATAAACCACCAAAAAGCCAAAAGTGAAAACTGTGACCAAGTGGCAATGCACTAGCACTGAGCAAAATTTCTCAGGGACATTGCCAAGAATCTGAGTTCAGGGCTGGGAAGGTGGCTCAGTGGTAAAGCACTTGCCTTGCATGCATGAGGCCCTGGGTTCCATTCCTCAGCACCACATAAGCAAAAAGAAAAAAGCCGGAAGTGGCGCTGTGGCTCAAGTGGTAGAGAAAAGCCGGAAGTGGCGCTGTGGCTCAAGTGGTAGAGAAAAGCCGGAAGTGGCGCTGTGGCTCAAGTGGTAGAGCGCTAGCCTTGAGCTGAAGAGCTGAGGGACAGCGCCCAGGCCCAGAGTTCAGGCCCCATGACTGGACCCAAAAAAAGAAAATCAGCCATTGCTGTGTGACAGGAATTATTAACAATTAATACTGAGACTTTCAAGACTGAAAGGGAACAATATAAACCATCACTATCAAGAGTCTACCTCACATTCTATGTTAGGTTTACCCCTGAGTAACTCAGGGGTAAGTTGCTGTTTTTGTTTTTTTTGCCAGACTTGGGGCTTGAACTCAGGGCCTGAGCACTGTCCCCTTCTTTTGCTCAAGGCTAGGACTCTACCACTTGAGCCACATCACCTCTTCTGTCTTTTTCTGTTTATGTGGTGCTGAGGAATCAAACCCAGGGCTTTTCATGCATGCTAGCTAGGCAAGCACTAAGCCACATTCCCAGCCCTCCTAGGTTCATTCTTGAAGAGAAAAAGAAGAAAAAGAAAAAAGGAGGCGCAGGAGAAGGGGGAGGGGGGTGGAGGGGAGAGGAGGAAGGAAGGAAGGAAGGAAGAAAGGAAGGGAGGGAGGGAGGGAGGGAGGGAGGGAGGGAGGGAGGTTAGTTTAAGTAGAATTCAAGGAAGTTTTAGTAGTCTTACTTCTACTAACAATGGCAAGAATAAAAGAATAAAAGATTGGATGAAATGAGAAGATTTCAAAAATTAAGATTTTATACCTACTAAGCTCAGCTAAGACATAAATGTTAGAAACTCAGTTACAAAACTTTTCTGCACAGATAAGACCAACTGTATTGAAATGGGCCCCTAAACAGTTTACAAAAGCAGCAGCCTGCTCTTTGCCCTCTCAATTTTACTGTCTTTAATTCTTTTCTTTCATAGGCACTGTTCACCAGTCCTTAAGATTTCAGCTTCAACAAAAACATTAGTAGTAATTACATACAAAACAAGAACCAAGTTAGTCATTCAGAATTTTTTTTTCTGGCCTCTGGGACTTGAACTCAGAGCCTGAGTGCAGTCCTTGAGCTTTTTAGCATGGGGCTAATGCTCTACCACTTGACACAGCTCCACTTCCAGCTTTTTTGGTTATTAACTGGAGATAAGACTCTCACAGATTTTCTTGACCTAACTAGTTTCAAACAGCAATCCTTTTTAGCCTCCTGAATAGCCATGATTATAGGTATGAGCCATTGGTACCAAGCCAGAATATTTTGTTTTTAAAAAACAGCATCTCAGAGGTGGCTCACGCCTGTAATGCTAGCTACTCAGGAGGCTGAGATCTGAGGATTGCAGTTCAAAGCCAGTCAGGGCAAGAAAGTCTGTAAGACTCTTATCTCCAAAAATCACTCAGAAAACCAAAGGTGGTGCTGTGGCTCAAGTGGTAGAGCGCTAGCCTTGAGTTGAAGAGCTGAGGGACAGTGACCAGGCCCAGAGTTCAAGACCCACGACCGACAATAAATAAATAAATAAATAAAACAGCATCTCGCACCAAGCGTCAGTAGCTCAGGCCTGTAATCCTAGCTACTCAGGATGCTGAGATCTGAGGATCGCAGTTCAAAGCCAGCCCAGGCAGGAAAGGCCATGAGACTCTTATCTCTCCAATAAACCAGAAAGTGATGCTGTAGCTCAAGTGGTAGAGCACTGGCCTTGAGCTGAAGAGCTGAGGGACAGTGCCCAGGCCCAGAGTTCAGGCCCCACGACCAAAAAAAAAAAACAAAAACAAAAAACAAAAACAAACCAGGAGTTAAGGAATTTACTCATTTACTCAAGGACCTCATTTATGTAAACATCCCTTCTTACTCTTGCATCAATTTTTCTTTCTCTACTAAATATTTATCAATATACACTTTAAAAACTCAAATGAAATGAAAACTCTTCCTTGATACCTTCCCATATAGTAACTGTCCTGTTTCTGTTTTATACAAAAATACTAAAAAGAGAAAGAAAAGGAAAAAAGAAAGAAAAACAAACTGTATATACTGTGTACATGTGCTGACTTCATTTCCCTCACCTCTTATTCTTTCTTTTTTTTTTTTTTTTGTCAGTTATAGGCCTGAACTCTGGGCCTGGGCGCTATTCCTTAGCTCTTCAGCTCAAGGCTAGCACTCTACCACTTGAGCCACAGTGCCACTTCTGGCTTTTTCTGCTTATGTGGTAACTTAAGAATTGAACCCAGGCCTCATGCATGCAAGGCAAGCACTCTACCACTGAGCCACCTTCCCAGCCCTTCTTATTCTTTCTTAAACCCACTCCAGTGATGCTATCATGCCCACCACTCAATAGAAATTTCTTCTCAAGGTCACTAGTGGTCTCCATATTGCCTAATCCAATTGCTAGTTCTCAATTTTCCTTGAATTTGACCCACTGGCAACATTTGGCACAGTTCATGGCATTATCTTCCTTGGCATACTTTTCATACATTGGCCCCACACACATACCAATTGGTGCTTTCCTTCTTTTTCACTGGTCTTCCCCTCAGTCTCCTTTGCAAATGATCCTCGGCATTCTAACCTCAAAAAGGGTGCCTTTCTCACTTTGTTAGGTTAGTCTTAAAGGTTTGGTCCTCTTCTCTCTATCTTTATTTTATTCCTTAATTGATTTTTTCTTTAATTTTTTAAACTAGGTTTTGAATTTAGGGTCTTAAGCATTCTAAGCACTCTACACCACTTAAGCTACACCACCAGAATATTTTATTTCTTAGACAACCATACATTTCTTAGGCAATCTGGAATGACATTTAACTATTTACTTGAATCTCCACTTGGATATCTAATGAGCGTTTCAGTATTAACAAGATCAAAACCAAACCTTATATTCTACAATAAATACTTCAAACCTATTCCTCCCTTCCACTTGCCTTCCCTTTAACAGAACAAAAGTAATTTCATCCTCCAGTTGCACAGGTCATCCATGACTTTTCTAAAACACACTGCTTCTTGACACCTCCACTCCTAGCCTCAAGTCCAAGCCATCATACACCAGCTCTTTTTCTATACTATTTTATTGTCTCCTAAACTGGACTCCCTTTCCACACAGTATGCCTAGACAGTAGCAGAAGTTCCTTTTCAAACCCAAGTCAGATCAAGTCACTCTATTTCTCAAAACTTGCTGTGATATGCTTTCTCATTCAAAATCAAAAGTCTTGTGACAGCCTACAAATGCTAGCACTCTGCTGACTATCTCATCTCCTCTATCACTCTCCCTTGCAAAGGCAGAGTGTCCCTTACCCAAACTGCTGGGGACAAGATGTGATTGGGAATTTCAGAAATTTTCAGGTTTGGGAATAGTTGCATATATGTAATGACATACCTTAAAGACATGAGCCAGGTCTCAGCATTAAATTCATGTATGACTTTAGTGTGTATGTGTGCTGGAACTGGGGCCTGAACTCAAGGCCTCCCACTCTTGATTGGCTTTTTCACTTATAGCTTGGACTCTACACTTTACCCATGCCTCCATTTCCAGAATTTTGTTGATTAATTGGTAATGAGTCTCATGGACTTTTCTGCACCAGCTAGTTCTGAAACACAATTCTCAGATCTCAGCTAATCTAGGCATGAGCCACCAGTGTCTCACTTATGCTTTATACATATGCTTATACATATATGCTGAAGATAATTTTTGTTGTGTGCTTGAATGGGGCTTGAAATCAGGGCCTTTCACACTTACTTAGCATTTTCCTCAAGACTAGTATTCAACCAGTTGAGCCACATATCCATTTAAAGCATTTTTCTGGATGAGAAAATTTCAGACTTGTCTGCCCAGGCTGGCTTCAAACCGCAGTCCTCAGCTCTCAGCCTCCCAGTAAAGTACAGGCATGATCTACCAGTACCCAACTTCCTGAAGATTATTTTATACAGTATTTTTAGTGTGCCTGTGTTTTGATTTTTGATGCATCACATGAGATAGGTGGCTGAATTTTTCACTTGTGGTGTGACCTTGATGATCAAGAGTTTCAGATTGGTAACTAGTTTTGATTTTGGATCTATAGATTAAAGATGTTCAACCAGTATACATTTTCCTGGCTATGTTAACAGCTTGCTTTCCCTCAAACACATTAAAGCATATTCCTGCACAAGAACATTGAGCTTGCTATTCCTCAACTTGATACTTCACTCTTCAAGTGTATACTTTCTCCCATTATCCTGGCTGAAATGTTACTGTATCAGGGAGACCTTTTCTTACAATAGGAAATCTCTACCCATACTGTCACTCAGAACTATATGATAACTATTAGGAAGACAGAAAATTGGGGAAATGACAGATGGTAAAACAAATTTTACACTTTATGTCAAGCAGTCTGCATCAGAAAGATTTATCCTCCAATTCAGCAGTAGGACGATTTTTCAGACATTATTAAATTTGTTTTGCATGTTCCTTCACAAGTTGAGGTATAAAGTAACATCTATTATAAATACTTTTTTTTTTTTTTTGCCAGTCCTGGGGCTTGAATTGAGGGCCTGGGCACTGTCCCTGAGCTCCTTTTATTCAAGGTTAGCACTCTACTACTTGAGCCACAACGCCACTTTCAGCTTTTTCTGTGTATGTGATACTGAAGAATCAAACCCACTGCTTCATGCATGCTAGGCAAGCACTCTACCCGCAAGCCACATTCCCAGCCCTGTAAATAAAATTTTAAACAAACTTACGGTGCAATAATGGCTCTAGCAGGTCTTTTTGTAGACTGTACTTGTGAAAGCCAACCTTCTAGTTGTGCATTCAGCTGCGGTCCTGTAAAATGACAAAGAACAAAACTGGAGTCAGCAAAGTAATGCATTACAGACAACCATACAGGGCACAAAGCCCTCATTGAACCTATTTTGTACTCAAATAGCTCAATGGGCAGTGAGATCATCATTTTGGATGTTCAGGTTTGAATTTACCAACTACAAGGTTTCTGGAAAGTCATATGGTACGGTAACTATTTATTAGACAAAGCTTGTTTTTGTTAATTTACTCCATAAAACCATCTTCATCCCAGAAAAACAATTATTTATAATTTGAAGTCACATTTAAACCTGGCTTTACTCAATCAATAAAATGGCATCTGAGGAAGAGGCAACATTTTTGTACCCTCGATGATATGACCCTTTCTTCCATCCCCTACTGATACCCTACTCTTATGACAGTAATGACTGTGTCACCTCAAAGATGTCTATTTCAAGTACCTCTCCAGTTCACTCCCAGTTCCTACATTTTTTTTCCCTCTTATCCTTTCTTCATTTCTTGTTTATCCTGAGCTCCAACAACGTATCACTATAGTCCTTCCCTTGTCTGTAGCCTCAGTGCTGTTCCTTTCTCCCTCCATCCATCAAAACAGAGTTTAAAATAAACTTTCATTTAACACTACCTAAAGAGCTAATGAAACAGATGAGAAATAACCATATAAACCTCTAATTTATAAGAAAAATTTCAGGAAACTTTAAGCAGTGCCCAGAAATCATATTACATTAACTTGATGAATTTAGTGTTTCACCTTCAACAGAGAATAATAGCTTCTCTTTTTCTCTTAAGCTTCAAAAACTTTCTTCCATCCCATTGTTACTCCTAGGAAATAAGTAATTCTTTCTATTTTGTCCAATACAAATAATCAGATGTATACTCCAGTCCAGCCTATCATCCTTGTTTGCCAAGTTGTTCCCAGATATATCGCTGTCAGTCCTAAATCCTAGAAATTCAATCCTAAGCAAACAGGATATATTAGTCACCCTCAATTCAAAAAAGAAGGACTTCATCTTTCCACCACTTATTCTGCCCGCTTTCATTCCTGTTTCAACAAACTGTCTTAGATCCTAACAAAAACCATATACTTAGCCTGGAGCCGGTGGCTCACATATATAATCCTAGCTACTCAAGAGGCTGAGAGCTGAGGATTGCTGTTCAAAGCCAGCCCAGGCAGGAAAGTCTGTTAGACTATTTCAATTTAACCACCAAAAAGCCAGAAGTGGAGCTGGCTCAAATGGTAGAGCACTATCCTTGAGCACAAAAAGCTCAGTGCCCAGTTCAAGCCCCACATTGGCACCAGAAGAACACACACACACACACACACACACACACACACACACACACACACACACACAGAGTATCATCCCAATGCTTTGTTTCCTCTCTGTGTGTGTGTGTGCGCGTGCGTGCGCGTGTGTGTGTGGCACGTGCTTGTGCACTTGTTCTGGTGCTTGAACTCAGGGCCTGGGCACTGTCCCTAAGCTTTTTTTTTCCAGGACTATCACTGTACACTGTGCCACAGCTCCACTTCTAGAAGGCTTTTTGGTAGTTATTGGAGATAAAAGTAGCAGACTTTCCTGTCCCCACTGGCTTTGAACAGTGATCCTCAGACCTCAAACTCGAATAGCTAGGATTACAGACATGAGCCACCAGCTTCCAGCTTACCACAATGCTTATTCTAGTCACTTAAATAAACTTTTTCCCTTTAGCTAAAGACACAACTCAATAGTTAGAATGTCAGCATATACAGTGTGAGGATCTAAGTTCAAATACCAGTACTGCCAAAAACACAGATTTGTGTTGGGGTTGGGAATGTGGCTTAATAAAAGCTAGAAGAGGCACTGTGGCTCAAGTGGTAGAATGCTAGCTTTGAGCAAAAGAAGCTCAGGAACAGACCCTGAGTTCAAGCTCCAAGGACTGGCAAAAAAAAAAAAAAGTGTCTCATTAAAATGCAATGCCACCATTACTTTTCCTTCACCTATATCCCATCTCTCTGGCCCTCTTTGTAGGAAATTTTTTTTTTTTTTTTTTTTTTTGGGTCCGGTCGAGGGGCCTGAACTCTGGGCCTGGGCGCTGTCCCTCAGCTCTTCAGCTCAAGACTAGCGCTGTACCACTTGAGCCACAGCGTCACTTCCAGCTTTTTTCTTTTTGCTTATGTGGTGCTGAGGAATCGAACCCAGGGCCGCATGCATGCAAGGCAAGCGCTCTACCACTGAGCCACCTTCCCAGCCCAGGAAATTTTCTCAAAGGGATGTACTTACATACTTCTTCTCTTCCATCCTTTCTATCTTTTTAACTTAAAAAAAAAAATAGATCATTCTATATTGCCCAGGATGGCCCCTAACTCCTGGATTCAACTGATAGTCCTGTCTTAGTCTCATAAGCAATTGGGAAAATAGACACACCACCACTCCCACCTCTGTTTTCAGACTTTTAGTCAATAAATACTATGCATTACAAAAGAATCCTGATAATAATATGAAGTACCGATGTAATACACCTATCACTTTCCTGTCTGCAGATTTTATGGTTGTTTCCACAAATTTTGTTAATAATTATATTGTTAATAGACAATGCTGCAGTTACGAACATGTGTTAAGAGTTTCCCTGGAACCTATCTCAAAGCACTGTATAAAAATATGCATATTCTTTTTTATTTTTTTATTTTCATTTTTTGGTCAGTCGTGGGGCTTGAACTCTGGGCCTGGGCTATTCAGCTCAAGGAGAGCACTCCACCACTTGAGCTACAGCACCACTTCTGGTTTTCTGGCGGGGGATGGGGGGGGGGGGGGAACAGCACAGCGATTGGAGATAAAAGTTTCATGGACTTTCCTTCACAGGGGCTCGATTTGAACCAAGATCCTCAGATCTCAGCCACCTACGATAGGATTAAAGGCGTGAGCCACCGGTGCCCAACTTAAAATATGCATATTCCTAACTCTATTAGAGCACTGCTAATTTACACTAGAGCAAGTGGATCAATCTGTTCTTCAATGTACACATGGACAAATAAAACAAAAATAAGAAGCTTAATTCCACTTACATGCCCCCATGTACTTTTCTGAGAACATTTTCTTTGTTGTTGTTTGTTTTTTTTTGCCGGTTGTGGGAGCCTGAACTCTGGGCCTGGGCGCTGTCCTCAGCTCTTCAGCTCAAGGTTAGTGCTCTACCACTTGAGCCACAGCGCCACTTCTGGCTTTTTCTGCTTATGTGGCGCAGAGGAATCAAACCCAGGGCGTTAGGCATGCAAGGCAAGCGCTCTACCACTGAGCCACCTTCCCAGCCCATGAGAACATTTTCTTTAGAGCACTCATAAACTCTTTCTTAGCCCCTTAGAGATATATGTAAATCTTTCTAAAAGCTAGTTCCATTACCTTTCCTAGGATCTAGTATTCATCTTTTCCCATAAAGGGAAAAAGCTGTTGGCTGGTTGGTTGGCTGACTGATTGGTTTTTGGTGCTAGGAATGAAAGCTAAGGTTTTACAGAAAAATGGAAACTTAAAAAAAAAAGCTAGGGGCTGGGAAGGTGGCTCAGTGGTAGAGCACCTGCCTTGCATGCCTGAGGCCCTGGGTTCGATTCCTCAGCACCACATAAGCAAAAAGAAGAAAGCCGGAAGTGGTGCTGTGGCTCAAGTGGTAGAGCCCTAGCCTTGAGCTGAAGAGCTGAGGGACAGCGCCCAGGCCCAGAGTTCAGGCCCCACAACCAGACCCAAAAACAAAAAACAAAAAAACCAAACAGCTAGCTTCTTCAACTTGCAAAATTACTCCCTATCAACAGATATGAATTTATTTTTTTCTTTGAATAAAGCCAATTCACTAACACAAAATATTCCCCAATTACAAAGAAAATTATGTGTGTCAAACAGTACTCCCAGTCCTCTTTTCTCCAGTACTGTTTACTGTTTATCTTGAAAACTGTGTATAATTGGTTGTACCTGCTTGGCTATATATAAGGGTGAGATCCTACCTGAAAAATAATTAAAGCAAAAAAGTCTAGAGGTGTGGCTTAAGTGATAAAGCACTTATGTATCAAGATCAAGGCCCTAAATTCAATCCCTAGTGCCACCAAAAGCAAAACCATTGTATTGAATACATAAAAAATAAAATGGGCCAGGCCCTGGTGGCTCATACCTGTAATCCTAGCTACTCAGGAGGCTGAGATCTGAGGACTGCGGTTCAAAGCCAACCCCAAGCAGGAAAAGTCTGTGAGACGCTTATCTCCAATTAACTACCTGGAAGTGGTGCTGTAGCTCAAGTGGTAGAGCATTCACCTTTAGCTGAAGAGTTCAGGGACAGTGCTCAGGCCCAGAGTTTAAGCCCCATAACCGACCAAAATAAGTTAAAATGGACAGCCGACCTATAAGTTGCCTAAGTACAATTTTTTTTTAAATCAGTTATAAAATAATGGCATTTATATCTATCATTAAAAATAATAAATCAATTGGACTGAGGACATATCTAAGTGGTAGAGCACCTATATAGGATGCACCAAACTCTGGGTCCAAAACCATGTTCTCAAAATAAATCAACAGCACTTAATCAACTTTCCCCCCAATTTTCTCTCTCTCCTCTCTTTCTCCCCTACCTTTCCTCTCTCCCCTCCCTTTCCTCTCTCTCACAAATGGATTACTGGGAAGTGGACCATAATTAGAGGAGGTAAGTTGCTAAGAACATGCCCTTGGAAGGGGACATCTTGTCCCAGGATCCTCCCATCCTCCCTGTGTGTGTGTGTGTGTGTGTGTGTGTGTGTGTGTGTGTGTGTGTGTGTGTGTGTGTGTGTGTGTGTGTGTGTGTGTGTGTGTGTCTGTCTGTCTGTCTGTCTGTCGTCTGTCTATCTGTCTGTCTCTGTCTCTGTCTGACCATCTGTCTCCCCCCCTTCCCACCCTCAGCCCTGCTTGTCCTGAGGCTTGAACTCAGGGCCTAGGCACTGTCCCTGACCTTTTGTGCTCAAGACTATAACTCTCTACTTTTTCAGCCATAGCTCTATTTCCAGCTTTTGTTTTGGT